CCGCTTCCAGCAGCTCCCATTGGCCTGGAGCAGCGAACCGCGGCCACTGGGAGCCGCGATTGACCGAACCTGCAGACGCGGCAGGTAAACAAACCAGCCCGGCCCGCCAGGGGCTTTCCCTGCACAAGCGGTGGAACAAATTTGGAAACTACTGATTTAGAACATAATTCAGTGCTTGTGCTTCTCAGTCAGTACTGAAACAGGGTCCTATCATGTGATTGAGGGGTATTGTGCTCTTTGGGAATGATGCCTCTTGAATGTGACATAAAACCAAGGTTCCCATGACACTATTTGAGAGAATATCGGTGCTAATCCTGGCATCCTGGACAAATTCTAACTAAGGCAATGACATTCATCTGATCTAAATCCCACCTGCAATTTAATTTATTTTAAGGTAGGCTTAACTTTTTCATCTAAACTGTTTGTAGTTTTGCTGTGTTCTCTTAAACAGCTGTTGTTTCACCCCAGAGACAGCTGCATTTTCATGGTGGATTTGATGATTTTTGTGGACTGTGTACAGGGAAAATTCTTGAGATCCTTTGGGATGAAATGTAAGATATTATCGCTATTATACTTTTAAATAGCATTTCAGAAGTATTATGGTATTGCAGCAACATATATGTTTGTTCTTGCTCTAAGTGAATACTGAAGCACTTACATTATACAAGACTCAGATAAGCATTATAATAGCAGATAATCTGGATCAATTTGTGATAATTTTCCATATGCCTAAATCACAAAATGAATAATCCCATGGTGTTCACATAATCCAAGACACAGCCAAATAGAAGGTTGTGTCTAATCCCAGTCTATAATGTCAATGATTCAAACTACTACTGGTAGCTATATTCTCCAATTACCTTCTTCATAGCCAGTTCCCACAGCTTTGTTTTCAGGGTAACTGGGCAGTTTGTTCAGTAGGGAAGATGATGGTTGGCGTGATCAAAACAAATATTCTGCTATAAATTAATGATTCAGTGACTATTCAATGACTGGATTTACTATAGAAAATGTTTTTCTTTTTTAATTGGTGTAGAAAAATATCCACTGGTTTTAAAAAAAAATTCCCTCTGATTTATTGTGGGTAGTTCATGGTAACAACCTGGTTTAAATGGATCACCCATTTTCCAGGGTTTTGTGTCATTTAAAGAGACTTAAGCAGAACTCACTTTTTTGACAGCATCTGGCTTCCAGGCCAGCTGTCCATGCTGCAGCAGGGCTGAATGCACAACACAGATTTCTTTGTCTGTTTAAAAAAAAAACACATTTTCTTAGAAGTGTAAATAGTGTACTCACTCCCAAAGGAAGTGATAAAAGCCTCAGAAATTTAAAAGAAGATTGGACGAGGCACTGGAAAATGTATAGTAGAGAACAAAGTGGGATTGGCAGGAGGATAGATTTGTGGGGTTTAATAGGTCCTTTCCACCTCTAACTTCTGTGATACGATATTGGAATGCTTTGTTCCAGGCTTTTTCCAACATCACATTTTGATCAATCGACTATTTTTTTTCTCTTCTGGTGTTTTCCCGCATGGTAAGCGCAGCAATCCATTTAATTGTATCTGTTTCAAAAACTATTAACGCAATTAGGTGGGATTTTCTATTATGCAGTAAGCAATTAACCAGAACTGCTAATACAGACAGATGTATGGGAAAGGATTGGGATTTTCCAAACTGATTCAATGAAGCAATTGATATAATTATCAGGAATGCAGTTAACTCTGTTCAGCTGTATAAAATTCCAATTCCTGATCTGCCATAAGATTCTATGAGGCTTGCTTTTTTAAAAAAAAATCTAATTTATTATAGTGCTTGGATCAAGGGATTGGAAATTGAGTAAGAGCCTTTTATTTCCAGGTAACTAGTTCACACCTGGGCCTAGATGTCTAGTTACCAAAATTAGTTTTCTAATCAGTGACTTTGGTGTCCATGTGAAACAGGCCATCTCTAGCTAGCTCCTGAAGGACATGAGTTCACAAAACAGCAAATCACCATCCCAACCCTGTAGTCACTCTCAGCAGAAAAGCCCATGATTGTCTGAGCATGGAGTCTGAACATACTGCAGAGCCAGCATATGGAAGATTGTGTTGTAGGCTCAACAGAGAATTTCACCTACCCAGGGCTGCCAATATGGCCTTAAACCAAAAATGTCAAATGTAGGTGCCTAATTTTAGGCACCTAAGCTTATATTTAGGTACTAAGGGCTGGATTTTTAAAGGTATTTAAGTGATTAACTCCCATTGATTTCAATGGTAGTTATGTTCCTAAATAGCTTTGAGGACATGGGCCCTCAGGTCCTACTTTTCAAAGAAGCTCAGCATCTGTAGCTTCCATTGATTTCAATGGGATTTTGAGAGTCTCAACACTTCTGAAAAGTCACCCAAAAATAAAAATCTGTATTTTCAGAGATGCTGAGCAGCTCCAGCTTCTATTGATTTCAATGGGAGTTCTCAGCAACTCTGAGAATGAGGCCACTTTCAGTTAGTAACTAAATTGCATTTTTGTGCCTAGTGTTAGGCTCCCAACATGGAAAATATTGGTCTAGGTTTCTTTAAAAATTATTCTAGGAGCTTAAGATAATGTCACCTGTTATTTTGTGCGACACGGTGCTTCTCTGCAGACTTTACTTAAAAATAAAAATGAAAGTATTTAGGGGGAAATGATGCTGTCATCTAGCAAAATATCATGTTCCACAAGCACTAACCATAAACTGCACTGTAGTAATAGCTGTATTTATCCTCATGATCAACAGCCATTTTGCAAATTTGTAATCTCACTTCCCTAAGTGACAGCTGTAAGACAGAACTCTACTTGTGTATGGGCAGCTTTCATTACAGAGGAAGTGGAGAACCCCATCCTTTCCGCTACCTGTTTAGGACACCTATCAACTACCAATTGAGAAGCTACTCAGTCAGATTCTGTGCATGTGTACCCTCCTGAACTGAAACATACAAGGTACAATAGATGGAACTGCTGCAAATAAGCTAAGAAGCATTTTAAGATCATTAGAATCCTTGTCAGAGGAAGATGGAGAATCCACTGTTTTTATTTCCCCATCTAAACATTTCCTCTTTGAAGGAGAAGACCTATTGTAAAGTTACGAAATCCACAAATAAAGAGGAGACAAACAAAGAAATCAAGACCAGGTAAGTTCCAAGGTTTTACTTATACTCACAAGTCTTCTATGTAGAAAAGGGATTATTATTGCATAGTTGATAAGTGTGAATTTAAGGCACAGTTCTTTTTATTTGTGACAGATATTTGTAAAAATTAATTAACTGCAAGACTGGAAATGTACACATAAAATATTCATTTACCAAGGGAATCCTTTTTAAGGGCAAGAATAAGAAGCAAATCAAATAATATATCAAGCAAAACAAATAAGAAAGAGGAGTTACTAAGGTGAAGCTTAGAGAAATGATTTTTGAAAATCTGACTAACTTTGATCCATGAAAGTTTCTTTTTAGCAGCTACAACTGATGGGAGGAAAATCATGTTTTCACCCTTTATTAAGAGTGAACAACAGAAGATGTTGACCCACTCTTACAGGTTCATCAGCATGAAACCTATCTTCAAAATAAATGGGAAAAATAAGCCTGAAAATGAAGACTTTCATTACCCTTTGCAAATGCTTCAATATGTAAATGTATGGAAAAATATAGGGAGGAAATTCATTAATCTGCATGACTAATAAAGAGAAATAGCAGCAACATTATTGTAACTGCGTGTATGAGGAAATGATCAGCTATGCTGAGAGAAAAATTAGTCAAAGGGGAACATTTGAAAAAAAAACTTTCACAAAGGTTGCTTTAAAGCTGCTTAAACTCTCTTGCAGGTCAAAGGAAAAAAGAAATAGGCTGAGCCTTCTTCTGCAAAAGGCTGAATTCCATGAAAATGTCAATCTTGAGAAATTTGAGAACTTGACAAAAGGTTCAAGGTGAGAATTGTAAAATATAAAGAGACTGAGAATTCCTATAAGAAAATGGCCGTCTCTGATTCGGTGCATTTCATCCATGTATCTGTGTACATTCAGGCTTTGCATCGAATAATGCTTTTAAGATCTATGTTATTTTAAAGTTTAGCATAATGCAATGCAAGTTATCTAACCTGGCATACATACAGTATATTTAAAGTTTGCTAACAAAGAGTGTTTTTGCACCCAGTGGGCCAGACTGTGATACTGGTATTCACAGAGAATAGTATTTTAGTCCCCAGTAGTCCCATAGACTTCAAAAGGACTATTTGATGTATAAAGTATTATTCAGAATGAATATGATCATAATCTAATCCCCAGGTTTATTTAACTCTATGACACATCAAGTTTTCCTCAATTGGGGTGAGGGGGAAAAGGGCAGGGATGAAAGAAAATATACTGGGTACTCTTCATATCACCAATAATTTTCATGTAATCTAGTCCCAGTGGAATTTGTCCTTGTGTACCTATTGCTTATGGGCCAGTTTATTTTTAGTGTTTATTTTTTATATGTAGTATCAGATAGTCACACTACAATATCCAAGCACCTAACAAATCCAAAGAATAAAATCCAGCATATAATCAAATATTCTCCTTTCCACACAAGAATTGGCGGGGTGGTTCATTTGTTAGCTGGATTTGGGTGGATTTGGGATTCTGTTCCCCATCCCCCCTTCGTCGTTGGTAGGAGAAGGCTAAGCTGAAAAAGTGAGTTTTGCACTTTATTCAGAGATCCAGGGCCATTCTAATTAACTGCAGAAGTGACCCAGATGCCTAGAAAACTTCTACCACTATTTTAAACTTCCCCCCTTGTGCACCTAAAACCATGCCAAGTCTGTATACAACAGGATGAGGAATAGTTTCCAAGCCATCTGTAGCTAGAAGGTCGCATTTTAGCAGCCATGATTATGTGGGTAGCGGATCACATTTGGGTATCTAATGTAAAGAGAACTGAAGCATCAAGTCCTCTTAATGATTTATGGACAGAAAACCTCAAGAGAGGGTGATGTCAAAATAGTGGCTGATAGTCCTCTGAAGTGTTTCTCTCTTCCTATAAATAACACTATGTCCTTGCCTAGTTATGGCTCAGCCAACTGCCTCTCATCCATGTGTTGATCTCAGGTAGGGATGACAGAGATGGTATTGTTTCTATTCTATGTGAAGTACAGCTGGTCAAAGTTTTCTAAAATTTCAGAATTTAGATGGGATGTGTGTGTGTGGGGGGGGGGAGAGAGAGAGAGAGAGAGAGAGAGAGAGGTCACCCTTTTGACTAATTGTAGTATAAAGCTGAGTGACATCCTTATATTGTTGGCATTTAGTCCACATCTCATTGATTTTAAATAGTACGGGGAGAGAACTTGGTCTTATGGAACTCCACAGCTGAATGGTCTGATGGCCATGAAGATGCCTATCGCTACAAGCCAACTCAACATTTAACCAACCTGCTGCCCTAGAACATGGCAGAGTATAACAGACCTTGGTGTCCATTCTCCTCAGGCCTCTCCTGTGAAAGCACTCATTGCTACTCCAAAGGTTTGACCTAGGTTCACCCAGTGAGTCCTCAGATCTAAATGACTTGTTCCATATCTAAACCAGCAAAAATGTAACCCACCATCTTTTGGCATTACTTGTGTTCTGGAATACATACTTGGTCTAAAGAAGTCTAGTTTATCTTTCACTATTACTAAATCTCTTCAACAGCTATAGCAACTTATATTCCCTCCGCCACAAACTAACATATAGGTCAATTAACTGCAGGTTTTGTATTTCCTACAATTGAAACATTCCTTAAGGGCTCACTTACCTATTTCCTCCATTATATAATCCCCCCACTTCTTTGGCCTTGCATTCAGCTCTTACAAGACTCCTTTCTTCAGTGCTTGCATCTCTTAAGAACTGTTCTGCTCTTTCTATCTAAGAATTACATAATTAGTAATGACTTGCTCTAGGAAGGTGAGTAATATTTAAGACAAATCTTCCTTTCAGTTTTCTGAAGAACAAAGTGGTCATTACCCTAAATTCCTTCCCAATGTGACGGGAATTTCACCTCATCCAGTCTTTCTGAATCCACACAATTTGCCAGGGAAGCCAGACCACATAAACTAGTATTAAAGAGATTTAAGTTAGAAAAGGATCAAGCAATTTTGGAAGCCATCTCAGTTTTTCACAGCATTTGGGACCAGGTCAAAAGAAGTTCAAACTTTATTCTCTATTGGGAAGAAATTGGGTCCAGTTCAGTGTTGTAGTGGTAAAAAAAGAAAGGGGGTAAACTAACCTATATTAAATTCCATAGTCCCCAAATGAGAAGTGGGTAAACTCAGTTTATCTAAGTTTACTCTTGATTACACTATTGGTCCCAAGGCACTGGACTGGGAGTCAGGAGACCTGATCTGGTTCTATTTCCAGCTCTACCACTAACCTACTGTGTGACTTCAGGCAAATTACTCCGTCTTTTCATGCCTCAGTTTTCCCATCTGGGGATAATAAGACCTATTTTCATTTGTACATGCTTTTAGCTCTGCAGAGGAAAACTGCTATGTGGTATGTAAGTATATTATTCATAAATTGACTAAATATATTGATGTCCAGACTCAGACTTCGGACCAGGTCAGAGTCCTGGTACAATATCGCCTCAGACCCCACTCCATTTCTTAAAAAAAAAAAAAAAAAACACACACACAACCTGTTCAGGGTTAATCTATAAAGTGTTACAAAAGTAATTTTACGAACTTTTTTATCAAGAGATGTGAAACAGTTTTTCTTTATTGTCCTAAACAGTGGAAACTTTGAGATCAATGAAGAATACATGCAGCTTGACATATTCGATAAAGAATACATGGAGTTTTATAAAAAGAACCCAGTCTCTCAAAATAACATGACATTTGAAAAATGTTTGTGGGAAACAAACCAGGCTACGTGTGTTATTACCTTATGAGACTAGTGCCTTTACCATGCTGTGGTGACTTTGTTTTCAAACTGTTGAATTTCCTGTATTCTGTTAAAAATAGACAGTGGTAACATAGCCTCAGACAGATTGCAATCAAAACCACATCTCTGCAAGAGTACGTCAGTTTAACTACTAAGCTGTTCTGTTTTCAAAGTAAAAAAGTAGTTGACCTGGTTCACTTATGATCTTTACCCTTGCATGATGTAAATTTTCCTTAAAGATTTGGAGCACGATGCTCTGCTTTAAACATTTTCTCTAACAAGTGTTATTCCAATAGGCAAAACATCAACCAAATGCTTTTGAACTCTCTAGCGGAAAGAGCTTCTTTTGTAAAGTAATCTAATCAGACACCTTGTGCAATAAGACAAAGTGAGAGAAATAGCAGGTAATATATATTACAATAGCTTCATAAATATACAAAACACACACTTCATCAGAAACACTTTTTGTGTCTTGTACAGTGTGACCCCTGAAGAAGCAGTGAGATGGGGTGAATCCTTTGACAAACTGCTTTCCCAGAAAGGTGAGTAGTGTTTTCCTCACCCTATTTCTTGGTGGAAAATAACACAATGTAGGTGCACAATTAAATACACTTGGCAAATATCTACATTCATTGTGATAGATCATTTATAGTAGTATGAGTTTTCACTCTGCTTGTGCTTAGGCAGCACCATGCCGTCAACTACGGAAAATAAAGAATTGATTTGTAACTTTAAGTTTGATATTTCATTCAACAAGAGCAATGTAACCATAAGAGATACAATGAAGGGTTCCTTCAATAAACAGAAAAAAGGTGATAAGATATAATTAAAATATCGTTTGGTAAGGAATAATGAGCTACTTATTAATGAATATTTAATAATAATGAATACTTATGGACTACTTAGATAAAATTATTTCCATTGTGATACTGGAACTGATTATTTAGAAAAATATGCACTGAAATTAACAAAGATCTGTCTTTTTGACTCTGGACTATATTTTTAGAGTTAACCTAGAAGGATCACTATGCTACAATGAGCTGACAATTGATTGAAAGTGGGTTGAAGTCTGCTAGTAACAATATCACCTGCTATTTTGCCTCTCCCCAAAGTAAAACATAAATGTATCCCAGTCCTGATGGGAGCACACTTTATAAAGATTACATAATGTTTCTTTCTTTTTGCATGCAGTATTAGACCTAGTTTTGTGCTAAAATGTCTTGTTATGATTATTTGTATACTGTGGATTACTAGCCATGTATGGGGCATGGAGACTATTATACTCAATTTACAATGCAAATACATTCATGTGGCAAAATGGTTCTGAATTTTTATCAGAATTAAAACCTGAGAACATGCAAAGTATCTAAGCTTGGGTGAAAACTCAGAGTGATCAGTTTTACAGCAGTGTATCACTTTGGGTTTCATCCTGCTGTCTGTACTCAGTCCAACAGCCCACTGACATCAATGGAGATTTTGTCTAAGGACTACAGCTGTGTGAAATATTCATTAAGGAAAGATTTTTTCCTAGTGAAATAACTTTTCAGGTTAACATCAGCAAAAGGGGAGTCACTGGTTCTAGTGAGCAGCCAATCCTTATTTTAAGGTCATGGGTAAACCACTCAAGTACTCTGTTAATCTCAGGATAGCAGAAAAAGGTAGTGGATTTCAGAATGCCAGGAAGTCTGGAAATGTCAGACAATTAATGTAGGATCATCATTGGTGGTGACACCTGCAGTGCACACCTTCAAGGAGGTATATCATCTAGGACCATTGTAGCTGGAGTTTGAATGGTTTCAAGCCATTTTAAAGTAAGTGGTCAAAAGTCAAATAAATGCTTGGAGAATTTTGCCACATACATGAATTTTGCTGGATAAGGCACCATGAGGCATATTTAGACTATAATGGAGGTGTAGAAGGCAAAGATTTGTCCACAGATTTGACAGGCCATGCCAGACATGACCAAAGTGTTAATACCAATGTTTACATCAAATGACATCTTTCATTGCAACATTGCTCAAATGTTCATGGAGGGCAAGAACAAAGGCCCAGGGATGGATATAGACAAAATAGACAAAAGTGGTCAGCCACCCATGACACACATAATTGCCTAATGCCTGAAACTCAAGTTACTGATAAAAGGCTTGTTTCTTTTCCTCCTTTTAAAGATAAATTCTGTACATAGCAAAAATGAGTCTTCCAGTATAGTGGTGACCATTACAATTATAGTTATATGCAAAGAAAATTGTAAAGGTTCTATTTACATTACCCTTTAAACTATCTTCTGAATTGGGCTCATTTCTGGGAAACAACCTATTTGTGAATACAATCAAGATTTAAATGGCATTTGAGGCATCCTAAGTCTGATTTGGAAGCAAAACTCAGGCCAAAATGGTCAATAATGGTCACATTTTTGGGTGCCTCTGTTTTTTGAGTGCTCAACTTGTGACCATGTATGGTCTATTTTTTAAAGATTCTGAGCATCCATAGTTGCTACTGAGATCAAGTGGCGCTGTGTGGGTCAGTATCTTTGAAAATTAGGCCCTGTGTGTCCCAAAAGGGACATCCAAAATCAGAGACCATATTTAAAATTTATGCCTAAAGCCTGATATCATTTCCTCTGGACTGACTACAAAACAATTAAATTGCACTTATTTTGTGATGTAAAAGAAAAGTCCATAATGTGAAGTTACAGAATAGTGCAAAATGAGACCAAACATGTGTTGTTACATAATTTAAATAGAGGAACTATGTTCTAGTGTCTAAGAGGGATGGTCTTTTAATGCTTCCGTGAATTAAAGTCATGCAATGCTCCCTTTTATAGCTGGTCTGGATGCCTTTACAAGGTTTCTGAAAACTGAGTTCAGCGAGGAGAACATTGAGTTTTGGACAGCCTGTGAGGATTATAAGAAGAACAGAGCATCTCATCAACTTCTTCCTAAAGCCAAGACAATTTATGAGACATTCATAAGGAAAGATGCTCCAAAAGAGGTACAGTAAAAACTGAAGATATACAGTGCTTGATACAAGCTGCCTCTGATAGAATCTGCCTTTCATAAATGCATACACAGAAACATCATCCATTCAGCCATGAAGGTCAACATTTGATGAAGTTGCAGCAGTTTATCATGTGTACCTTGCCACCGGAATGCTGCATCTTAAATATCAAATCACTGCTTTGGAAAGAAGTATGGGACCCAACACCCACAGAACTTTCTCTTTCTCTCTCCCCTCACCCTGCCCCCATGTTATTCTTTTAACCCTACAAAAAAGACTGTAGGTGTAAATATGTCATGCTAGTCAAAGGAATTTTCAAACTTCTCATTGCTATATATAAACACCTGATTTAACATCATGTTGAGTAAATTTAAGATCTGTTGTCATAATAATGCACACACCCAATAGTAACAGTCATTTGTCAAACAGTGTTTTGTATACATTTAACTCTGCTTCCAGAACAGTAGAATTATTCTCTGTCTGCTAAACCAGCATTACAGATCAAATTATTATATTGCTGAGATTTCAGAGGATTTCTTAAATATGCCAAATGAATAAAAGAAATCAATAAATTAAACATATCCTTCAAGGTAATAATTATAACATTTTAAGCAGAGAAAAGACTTGATTGGCATAGGTTTGTGATTTTTTTTTTTAGTTTTATTTTTTCTGAAGGAATCTCTGAGTGATGAGTTTATAGTATGGTATGTTATAGACAAACACATACAAGATACATTGGGACTGATTCTCATTTACACTGCTTTGGAAGTGTAAAAGGCTTTTAAAGTGGATGCAAATTATATTAAACTGTCGGAGTGTTGTAAAGTGTCCTTCGTGTAAATAAATACAATAATTATTTTTCCCTGCACTAGCAGGAGGATGGACTGACTGGCAGATGATAAACTCCCACTAAAGTCAATGAGGGTTTGGCTGAGTAATGACTAGAAGATCAGACCCCTAATAGTCCTTTTGCATCTCTATTACCTATAATTCTATATAACAGATTAAGAATAGGTGGATTGCCTGTGCTCCTATTTTCTGTGTTCTTTTCTTATTGTTGGTAGAGGAAATGTTAAATGTTGGCAAATCTAAAAAATCATCTGCTGATGTAATGCAGAAAAAAGTATCACTGCTCAGTCCAAGGAAGTGACTTAAAGAATGGTACAAATTAGGCTCATAATTCCCTCTGTGTGACCTTGGGGTTTACCACTACTCCTGCCAAGGCAGAGAGCCTATTTGTTTGGTCTACTCTCAAAGAGTAATGGCCCCGTCCTATGAAATGCTGAGTGGTTTCAGTAACCTTTTACATTCTATCATGCGGCACCTTGCAGGATCAGGCCCTGCGTGAATACGAGGAGTTTTGGATTTTTCACGAGGAGTTTTGAATTTTCTGAAGATGAATACTATTTTGCCAGTGTGCCATTCTACCAACCGTTTGGGTGGACACCAAGCTATAGCAAGAACTATTGATACAGCATCGCTAAAAGCTCCCTTCATTTTATATATTGTTCATAGGTTATCTTGCTACACTGATGACCTGTAAGGGATGAACAGGGAAGAAGGAACCTAGAGCACAGATGGTGGAAATCACACATTGCCTGATAGTGTCACACTGACCAGTTAACTGATATGCTGTTACTGTGATACCAGCAAAGACGGGATTGTTCTCCGCTATACCATCCCTTAGGTGTTGGGCCCTGTGTATCCTCTTGTCATGCTTCAACCCAGCTGTTGAGATCAGCTGGGATGCTCAAGCTGACGGTCTATAGATTTGTTCATCGGTGTGTTGAGAACTCTCTCATTAAAGAGCTTCAACTTTGGAACTTGTTTGCACCAACAGAAACTAAGTTTACTGTCCAGCAGGGCATGTTAAAAGGGCCTTTTCTGAGAAGATAGGTAGGAAAGGTCTGAACATTTGGGGACTCAGTCGTTTATCATTAATTGATTTTCAGTTTTCACATACAAACTACATGTTGTTATATTTTTGTAAATGCACCAAGAGGAATTTGAAAAATATAAAATAAATACGTTATAAAAGACATTCTTGAAGCTGTATGGAATTTACTAATTTCTAAATTATGTGCTGTATATACCACTATTGTAGATCTAAACATAATCCTTATATTAAACCACCACTCCATGAGAATAGCCAATGATAATATATAATTGTATTTAAGCTGTAACTGAAAAGCTCTGAGATATGCCTTTTTTCCCTTCCAAAGTAGCCAAAAATCCATTAGAAAATAATTTTGCTGCACACTTTAATCATTAGAATATTCTATCCTTCCTGTTACTAAGATGCTCTACAGAAATGGAAGCTTAAAACAGTATCTGGTCAATTCAGATGATATAAAGCTTTGAGCCAGCAAGACTGAGTGTCCTTGATTCCTGTTGGCTTCAGTGGGAATTCAGATACCTCAGTACTTTGCAGGACTGGGCACAAAATCTCCCTGTGCCAGTGTCAGCAGCAAATGTACAGTGGATACCATTAGAAAGTCAGCTCTAATGAAAAGGTTTTCCCTGTTCTTAGTAGAGATCTGTGGTGATTCTTTGGTAGCAGTTAACAAATGCTGACTCAGTGGATTTCACAATACTTATATCCAATTTAAAGTATGTTTAGTAGAAAGTGGTTTTCCCAAGTTAAGTATTATTGTTATAAATGACCATGTATAAAATGAATTAATGTACTGCATGCTTTTTTGGCCTTTTCCAGGTTAACCTTGACTTTCACACGAAAGAAGTCACCGCTCAGAACATTACTCACCCTACACTTGACAGCTTTGATGCAGCACAGGCCAAAGTCTACAGGCTGATGGAACAAGACAGTTACCCCCGCTTCCTGAGATCTGACATGTATTTAGACCTGATTAAAGGAAGGCAGCACTCTGGCCATCCTGCTCTTAGAAGGCGATCACGCTCTTTTACCTTCAATGAATTCCAGGATGTGCAATCAGACTTTACCATTTGGTTATAAAGAAATTTAACCTCCTTGGATTCTAACTAAAATGTAACAAATTATAATACACAGCATCCTAAACACAAACCTTCAGCTGGTGCAAATGGGCGTAGATCCATTGGCTTAAATGGTGTTACATCTATTTACCCCACTGAAGGACCTGGCTCAGAAAGCTGTAGTCAGTGATTAATTTAACTTATTATAAAGAGATATGCAGCATATTGGCAAGATGTGTTAGATGTAATGTATTCAGACAAGATATTATGCCTTTTAAACTCAACTAGGAGAACGTATGAATTCTTTCCACAAAATCATATTTGACAGTGAGAACTTTAAACTTTATCTAAAAATACTGTTTTAAAAAAAATTTACAAAATTCATCCTTCCTCCTGGGTCCATCATATTTAGAAAACACAATGTTGTCACCATCAAAGTCTTTACACTTATCATTTGCACATAATTAATGTTACTGCAATAGTTCCTACACTAACCACAGGTTTTTATACCACAAGCACACAGAAACATTAATTAAGCAAAAGGTAAAAATGTCATTATTTTTAACTTCAGTCACTATATAACTTTTACTACTGCTTATTTTAAGAGGTACATAGGAAAATGCCTATTTAATTAATTTTATAGTACTACATTTTATGGTATTTTCTTATTACATTTCTCTGTTCTCTCTATTTAAATTAAGCTGTATAGTTTAGCCTTTGCACTCAAATATTTGTATTATATTATTTGCAGCTAAATGAATAGTAATAAAGGGACAAGACTAAGCAATTTAGTATGTCTTTGTGTCATTAAATACCAGTTGAATGAACTTTTAATTTGCCATTCATTTGTAAATTTTGTATCATCCCAGCTTGTCTGCTAAACTTTGAGGGACAAATTCTGGCAATCTTTGGGATAACACCCAAGTGGGGATATGCTATAACTGTAAGGTCAGTGACATACAGGCCTCCATTCAACAAAGCACTTAAGCTCATATTAAGCACTTTAATGGGTCTTACGCACATATTTTTAAGGATGTGCTTAAGTGTTTTGTTGAATCGGGGACAGACGCAGGACTCATTTATACAGAATGTGGGTGAGTGTTACTGATCATGGACTTATAGCACTTTTATCCCAAACACTTGCTCCCTGACCATTCTGTTCCACTTGGTGTTTTCCCCTTTACTGGAGAAGTTCTCTGGGAGACAGCACTTCTCCGAATTAGACCCAGAACATCTTTCACTGGGTCTCCCTTGCTGTATCGAGCTGCTGGTTCTGCCACTGTAATTCCTGTTATGTGCAAAATTTTCCCACTCATTCAAAATCTTTATTTAACCAAGTAAACTCCCTTTGGGGAAAAGTCTTCATTTATAATAGGGACCTGGGCAAGGTGTCTCAGTACTGCTTTGCATGACTTGCTGCAGTGGTAACTGGCAGCCTAGGACGAGTAGTAGGCAACCTTCTTCTCCGATTCTGCAAACATGCACACACACATAAATAATATAGAGACATAAGTAGTGCCATTGAAATGGAGGGAAAAGAGAATGAACCAAATGTGATGGATGTTAGCCATGTTGCTTAATTCACTAATGGAAGGCACTCAAGTCCTATGATGATGAGGGGTATAAGAACCTATATAGAACAGAATAGAACCACTTGCTTCCAAGTTGTAATGGGCCTACTCACATCTCTAAAGTTACTCATCTGTGTAAGTGCTTGTAGGTTCAGAGCCTTGGCTAGCATAAGACGAGGGCACATTACAAAAATAAAATAAATGGCCAATGGACAGATTCCTAATGAAAAATTATACTGATCTACTATAGTAAGGAGCTTCTTTGAGGAGACAAGAAAAGTTTTTGCAAAGCTAGTATGTCAGGGAATGACAGTGAAACCACTTTAATCAGTTGTCATTGAGAAATAAGACCAGATGTTCACAGAGCCCATGGGCTAGTAAGTGGTAAAGATCTAATTTTCAAAGGTATTTCAATGGGAGTTAGGTGCTCAAACCTCTTAGGCACTTTTGAAAATCCCACTAGGCACCTAGCTGCATCTTTAGGTGCTTAACACCTTTGTAAATCTGCCCCTAAGTTCCTATGCCTTTTATTTTGAAGGGGGTAATCTTAAGAATAACAGTCAAGTCTTGTCTGAGTTTGAGTAGGAGATCTTGATGGGGATGCAGTTCCACTTGTTAAATTAGGTCATTTGTTTAATATACTCTCTACAGGGAAATGAGAGGAGGAAGGGAGAGTTTGCTTTTTAAAATCTTTATTATTCAAGTCATCCTCACAGCCCCATCATTGGCATGTGTCAAGCCTTTTTTGATTGGAGAATTCTGGTGAAGATATCTTGAAGCACAGGGCAATTCTTAAAATATTAAACATTGTTTTAGTTTAATAATTCAGTGACTACAGGATTTAATAAATGTGTGTGACTGGAATAATCAATAACCTTTCATGGAATTTAAGCTCCCCCCTGCTTCCATCTTTTTAGTAACCAATCTGTAGTGAGGCAGGGTGGCCTCCCAAGGACCCGGAGTGGTAGGGCCCCCGCACTGAGCCACTACACAATCAAAGAGAAAAGGAGCAATTCTTGATGATAGTTCTTTATGTTAATTACCAACGTAGGGTGTATACAAGCTCTACAGCCAAGAATCTCACATTATCCACTCAGTAACTTTGTACCAAAATGAAAAATGATCCATTTAAAAGCTGGCAGGATGTAGCTTAATGACAGGCTTTCTATGCATAAAATGCTAATTATTGGACTTGGTAGTTATGGGTCAAAGTAACAAAGTTCAACACACACCCTGCCCCGCACCCAGATCCAAAATTTCCCAAGGTTTGCAGATGTTCAACACTCAGGTTTTAATTGAGGCCTGTCTCTAAGGCCCCATCTACACTGGCAAGTTTCTGCGCTGTAAATCCCGAGGTGTACACTCTGCCAAGCCCACTTAATGCACAGAAACTGCACAGTTGTAGTGCTCTAAAAAAAAACACCCCGATGAGAGGCCTAGAGCTTTCTGCGCTGGGGCTACACTGCTGCGGTGCCAGTGTAGACACCATGGCGATTACAGCACTGCAACTGGCCTCCGGGAGGTGTTCCACAATTCCTGTTCTTACCTCTCTGGTCATCAGTTTGAACTGTACTGCCCTGCCCTCAGGTGACCAACCGTCAACCCCACCCCATACATTCCTTTGCAAATTTGTAAGTCCCCTTTCTGTTTGCTCGGTGATGCGTGCAGTGGTCTCAGCGCATCTTTCCAGGTAGCCATGCCTGCTCCACACACCAGGCGATCCCCCGCTTGGAGCAATGCTGAGCTGCTGGACCTCATCGGCATTTGGGGAGAGGAGGCAGTGCAATCCCAGCTGCGCTCCAGCCAATTAGGATACCTAGAGACAGATTTCATGATGCATGATAGAAAGGGGCCATGACTGGGACACATTGCAGTGTAGGGTAAAAGTGAAGGAGCTGCAGAACATCTACCACAAGGCCTGGGAGTCAAACCGCTGCTCCGGTACTGCACCCACGAGCTGCCGGTTCTAAAAAGAGCTGGACGTGATACTCGGTGGTGACCCCACCTCCACTACGAAGGCCTCTGTGGATACTTTGTTGGCTCACGTGCCAGTCAAGAGTGGACTGAGCCAGGAGGAGGAAATCTTGGATGAAGAGAGGGAGGGGGACCCAGATGCAGAGAATGACTCGAAGACCAGAAATGCATACAGCAAGGAGCTCTTTTCTACCCCCAAAGGAGCCTAGCCAGTCACAGCAGTCAGATCTTGGCAAAGCGCAAACAGGAGAGGTGGCCCCTGGTAAGTGGATCTGATTTTGTGAATTGCTGAAGCTATTTTTTGGGGGCAGGAGGGTTGCAAAAAGCAGGCTTGTCTCCCACCGCATGTCTATTCTGAGCAGCAGAACAGGCTGTTGACTCCCTCACTTCACCAGAATCTCCCTCAGCGATCCCTCTCTCGTGGAGATACTGGGCAATCCACTGCTGCAGGTTCCTCGGCAGAGCTGCTTTGTTTCTTGCCCCATTAATGGTAACTTTCCCACGCCACTGTGGCATCACAGTGGGAGAGGGAGCAGGGACCATTGCTGCACACAGGTGAGCCACCTAGGGGCCAGGGTGGAAGCCGCAGGCTTAGAGAAGACCCTCCCTTGATTCCCTGCTCACCCTCAGTAGTGAGATATCTTCCATAATGATCACATCCTGTGGAAAGTGTGGGGACAGGAATGATTATCAAGCCTCCCTAAAGTGCTTGCTCTCCCCAAGAGCCATGTGCTCAGGGTATAGCCCAGGGTGAATCACTCCGGGAAAAGTGATTCACCCTGCCCCGCGGCTACTCACCATTTTGGGGGTCTTGTGGCTGATGTGTGCATGCCTGGGGTCAGCCAGTTAGTGACAGGTGTGTGAGTACTGGCTGTGTTTTAAAGCACTGATTCAGTGTTGTCTGTGTTGCAAACAATACTGCTGGTGTAAAATGTTGCATTTAAACTTCACAGAAATGACCTTGGGAGGCCAGCCTCCCTTATCAGCGGCAGAACGGCTGCGCAGAATTAGAAAGCAGCCACAAAGAACTAAGGAGGACTTTCTCCGTGAGGTTATGATGCACTCCACCACTGAGAAACAGGAATTGAAGGAGTGGCAGGACAGCGAAAAGAAGGACCGAAAGGAGAATGCGGCATGCCAGAATGAAGCCATGGAATAGGTCTCAAACATTATAGAGTGCCAAACGGACACGTTCCAGGCAATTCTAGCTCTTCAAACCGAGCAGCTCCGCGCCAGCCCTCCCCTGCAGCCGCTGTCACAAAACTCTTTCCCATGCGCGCCCTCCCCCCCACACACACACACACTGTTATCAACCTCCTGGCTCCACTCTCTCCCCGCAGCATTCCACTCCTCCCTCCTCACAGTCCAGCACTGTGGACTCCCACTATCCACTGCACTCAACACCCATCCCTCTGCAGTTTGGCCCTGCTGAAGTACAGCACCCGCTGCATTGTACTGCAAAGGAGAAGGTTGGGTATGATCCCTGGACATACAGAAATCTGTAGCCGTCCCGGGACCCCTTCTCCTCTGGAGATCTTCTCTTACCCCTCCCTGATGATGTATTTTTGTCATTTGACTCTCTCCTCTGGTTGTTGTCTTTCAATAAAAGAATTGTATTGGTTTGGAAGCAATCTTGATTCTATTAATTGAAAGCAAACAAATCCCTGCAAAGCAACATGGAATTATGTAAACCCCATTATTGCATCATGTGCACCAGTCACCTCCTACCATTACAATCATTGCAATCATGAGCATAGCAACAAATATTAGTGTCTTT